TCGGGAGCCAGGGCCTGCCTGTCTTGCCACCTGGAGTGAACAAGTTCCGCGTTAGTTCTGCGACGTAGGCTAGAGGTACCCTAGGTGTGTGGGCAGCAATGTTTAAGCTCTCAGGTATGATGTCATTTGCATTGTCTCTGCATGTCCATGGAGAGGCCTCAGGGGCAGCAGCGTCACCCCAAGAGGCCCGCTGACCTGTCTGCAGGTCCTTGCCAGCATCACGGTGCTGTCCTCCTCGGAGACGAGCCCAGCTCAGCCACCAGCCTTCCTACTGCCTCCACCAGGCCCCCTAGCCCAGGCACAGTACTGCTCCACCTCCTCCACCCTCCTCACCTCAAGGTCACCTTACACTCAGTCACTCTCACCCACAAGGTCCATCAGCCTATAGGTCCTAGTTTGGGTCCTCGGGTGTCAACTAGACTCTCCTGGTGAGCGGGGTGTTCCTCGCTCCACGCATTTGTGAACAGGATTTTGCATCGCGAGCAGAAGCTTCCTGCTTCCCTGAATATATAAGGTTAAGTCCAAAGCCAGTGGGAAGATCCAGGTCCTTGGGGATCCAGGTCCAATGACTTTGAACCTCCCCATCTGCTGGCCTCTGGGAGTGGCAAGCTCCCTTCCCCAAAGACGTGTGCCCATCTCTAAGGGGCTCGCTGCCTCCTGGTCTCTTGGCTTCCTCACCCCATGGAGCCTCCACCACATCGACCCCAACGGGAAGCCCAGACCCTGGAGGATTCAACAACACACGGCCTACAGTCAGCACTGTGTTGGGTGGGCTTCACGGAAGCCGGGTGAGGAGGGTGCTCCCGGGAGTGGCCTTGCCACGCCGCACACCCTTGTGTCACCATGTTAGTTCTGTCCCTCTGTCCTTCTGTTTATCGTACAGAAGTTTTGTAATCACTGATGCTTCCATTTAGGAGGCAGTAAAAGTATTTCTTCCCAACAAGTTCCTCACTAAGAGGAATTCTGGGGAATGTTTTTTTCCCAGTCTCAGCACCCTCCTGTTTTACAATCCCCAAGAAAACATGCGGAAAGCCCTTGAAAGCATGCGTGCTCCCACACCTCCAACCTCCCGGGGCTGCAGACTGGGAAACCCAGCTTCCACATCGGATTCCTACCCCAGCCTCTGCTGGTGGCTCTGAGCCTGTCAGTCCATGAGTCTCCATGTGTTTTCCCAACGAGGCGCCACACCCTACACCCCAGCGTAACGGATGCTAAAAGCCAGGTCATCAGAGCAAGCTGTGGTCCAGCTGACTCAGCCGAGGCTAAGGGGGCAGGGCTGCGGTGTCTGGCTATGATGTGACAGCCACCCGGACACACTACTCATTACAGGTCTCGGCGGTGGAAGGGCTGCCTGGAGGTGGGGCAGTGGCGTTATTATTCCTGTTGAGGATTTCCTTTGAGGTGGTTCTGGAAGAGCTGCCTTTGCTTGGATGTGCCCACCCTGGCTGACTCGATCCCCTGGGCATCTAAGGCAGGCACTGCCTGAGCAGCTTGGCTGAACATGAGGGGAGGGAAAGCCCCCAGTGGCCTTCTACCTCCTGGATATCCAACATTCTACGTGAGCTCAAGGGCAGCCGCCAGGCTCAGGGATTCCTGCCTCTGACTTCTCAAACCGCTTCCTTAGTCCACAGAGAGGAAGGCGGAGAGCCCAGGCAGCTCCCTAAACAAGGCAAGGCCTCCCTGTGCCCCGTCGCTGTGTGAACTGTAAAGGGATAACAGAATCAGCCCCGGAATGACCAACCCAAACTTTCTAAGTGGCTGGGGACACCATGTCTCCAAGATTCAAAACCCTGTAAAGTGAGTCAATTTAAAGTGCAGGAGCCTCTGCTTACGACGCAGCCAGACCAACGAGAAAGGGGCAAGCCCATTTTTATCGCAGCATGAGCCGCAGAAGCGAGGAGGGCACTGACCCTCCTTCGGCTTGTGTTCATGCCCACTCTGGGATCACGTGTAGAGTTGGCAGCGTGCACTTAAGGTGAGACCGACAGGAGAGAGAGGAGCTGATGGCGTGAGTGCAGGCGACGAAAGCAGCCGGGCACTGGGCCAGCAGAGAGCTCGGCAGTGAGTGCCAAGGGAAGGGAGGGAGGAGACTTTCCAGGGTAGCATAAGCGCTAGCCCTAGAAACCCAAACAGAAACACAGAAGGAGACCATGAGTCGCGCAGGGAAGGCCAGCTGGAGTGCACACAGGAGGCTGAGCTGATAGGAGAGGAATTAGCGTTCAGAGCCCCGGGGGTTAACAGAAGATGAAGTCAGTCATCTTCTTTCAATGTGTAAATGTTTCCAAAAAACCTTGGATTGCACGGAAGTCTCATTACACATTCGACTTTAAAAGAAATTCAAATGTTTTCATGGGCCCTTAAAAGTACTGTGAGTACTAGACATTGTGCTCTCTGGGCCTAATGGCTCCGAGCAACCATACCGCCCACTCACACATTTCACTCAACAAATATTTACTGAGCACCTACTATGTGCCAGGCATTTTTAAGGCGGTGAACAAATCACAGTTTCTGCCTTCATGGAGAATACATATAGAGAGAGCAGACACAAAATAACCAGTAAATGTATAATAGGTCCAATGGTGGTAAGTAATACAAGAAAAAATAAGTCAAGATAGAGGAGATACAGAATGACAGGGTGGGACTAATTTTATATGGATGATGAGTGGAGCCCCACTGGTAGGTTGATCAGATGCCACTTGAGCAGAGATCTGAAGGAAAGGAGATAGTGAGCCATGTGGACACCTGAGGAGGAGTGTTTCAGGCCAAGGGAACAGTTAGTGCAAGGGCCCTGTGGCAGCAATATGCCTGGTTTGTGCAAGAACAGCAAGGTGGGCAGGGTGTGGCTGGAGTGCAGGGCTTGAACCAGCGAGAGTGGTAGGCAAGAAGAGAGACAGTAAAAGCCAAAGTCCTTTTCTCTGAATGACAGGGGGCTGATGGGAGAGTTCTGAGAGAGAAGAGCCATGGTACCTCACCCTGACATGGCACTAAGCCCACGCATATACCTATTGGTCCTGACCTGGAGTTTCCCTCCTGTTACAAACATCCTTAGTCACATCATCATGGATTTCGATCTCCTCTAAAGAGACCAATGCTCCACTTCACAGAGTGGCTCAAACCCCTGACGTGTGTGTCCTATTGGAGACAAGTAGGAATACTGTTGGCTTCCTTAGTCTGATCCCTGTTATCACCTGACTGGGGTTATTTCTGAGAAGAGAAACTAGTGGGATTTTTATATCCCAAACTATATTTCTTTGACACCGTGAAGGAAGTTTGAAAAAACGTGGGCGCAGAAGAATGCCAGGTCTCAGGACGACCTCGGAGCTTTCTTGTCTGACAAACCCTCAGCAAAAATTATGAAATGAAATGGCCTCTGAGAAGGTTCAAGTTGGATTTCAAAGCATCCTACAGCCCTTGTCTGTGCTAGACTTTACCAATAGGTGACGGCAGCAAATGCATCCCTATGTCAAACAGCCACGGAGCCCATAAGAAAGTTAGCAAAGTCACACGGTAGAAGATTCTATACCAGGAATTCTGGGGGCTTGATATCTCCTGGATTAATGACATTCATTGAGTTTATTAAAAAAACAAAAAAGAAACCCACTTTTTTTTTTGCACACAATATATATTTTCCTAATTCTAATGCAATATATATATTTTTATTTTTTTATTTTCTAAAGTTTTACATATGTCTCCTTTTTCCCTGATTGACCCCTCCTCAGAGGGCAAGCCCCCACCTTTCCAGTGTCTGTGTCCATTGATTATGCTAATATGCATGCACACAAGTCCTTTGGTTGATCTCTAACCACCCCCCCAGACCACCCCCCCCCATTTATCTCTGGATCTATTTCTGTTCATCAGTTTATGTTGATCATTATATACCAAATATGAGTGAGATCATGTGATATTTATCTTTCTTTGACTGGCTTATTTCACTTAGCATAATGCTCTCCAGTTCCATCCATGCTGTTGCAAATGGTAAAAGTTCCTTCTTTTTTATAGCTGTGTAGTATTCCATTATGTAGATGTACCTCAGTTTTTTAATCCACTCATCTGCTGATGGGCACTTGGATTGTTTCCAAATCTTAGCTATGGTAAATTGTGCTGCTATGAACATAGGGGTTCTAATGCAATATTTGTTTAAAACATGACTCCCACTCAAACACAAATGACTGTGGTAGACTGCTTGCAAAAAATGGCCTTGATTAGCCATCCATTCCTGGTTGTAAAACCTTTACATGTGATCTTACACCTCCTCTCACCAAGAGATGAAGTCTCTTTTCCCACCCTTGTCTCTGTCTGGCCTTGTGACTTGTTTTGGAAAAGAGGATGTAATAGGAAGCAATACTATGCCAATTCCAAATCTAAGCTCAAGAGACTTTATATACTTCTGTCCTCTCTGTTGGAACCTTGCCACCACTATGAAAACAAAGTCCAAATAGTCTGCCACATAGTGAGGGACCATATGGCTCAGTCAGGCACCAAAGATATGAGAGAGAAGGTGAGCAGACACACCTACCCAACCTGTAGATACTAGATACTATAGGGGGCCCAGCTGAGACCACCCTACATTGCCAACTCACGCATTATAAGCTAAATAAATGGTTGTCAAAAGCCCCTACGTTTTAGGGAATTTTGTTACACAGCAATACCTAACTGCCACAATGGCTGAGAACGCTATGACTCATTCATTGCCAGTGAGGCCAGTGATGACACTAATGTGACTTACACCTTCTGCTGTACTTTGCAGTCTGGGCCAGGATCACACCATCACTAAACACTGTGCACTATGGCCAGTCATTCTTCATTTATTACAAGGGGAGGATTTAAACAGAAGGATGATTTAAAAGATCCCTCAAGCACAATTCTGTGCCTGGGAAACTTCTGGTGCTTGGGCTCCCAAATGCATGATCTACCACACAGCTCTTCACTGAAGACATGCCACTTCCTGGCATGTGAAGGGTGGCCCAGGTGGGTCTACAGGCAAAGGAGATGAAGGTCGCAAGAGAGCCAGGCTGGATTCCTCCTTACCTGCTGCATCCCGCTGGCCTGCCGGTCGCAACACAGGGAAGCCGCCAGCAAACAGATCTCCCAGGGCTGGGGGCGTGCTCCCTCCTCGAGAGTTTGCAGAACCTCCTCCTTCTTTGTTGGCTCCTTTAGAACCTTTAGAGAGAAGAGGCCAGTAGATGAGGACTTGGGAGCAGAGCGAAGCCGCTAATTCTCACCCGGGCCGGGGTCGGACCCTGCCCAGGACAGCCTTCCCGTCCGCTCACCTGCAGTGTTACCCTTCTGATGGCATCTTTCCCAAACACCCTCTGCCTCGATGCCCTGCAGACTGGTGCCCGGGCCTGTGTGCTGCCCTCGCTGGGTCTACCAAAGGACCAGCCATCGGTAGCTGATGATTCTGAAAAGTGACCGAACCCAGGGGCCTATCCACTGTCAGTTAGTAGATGCCAATGGAGGAACTGGCGGTGCCTTTCAAATGAGAAAACCCAAACATCATCGGTGCAGGGCTGGTCCTGTTTTCAACATGATTGTGGCTGTGGGACGACTAGGCAGAGAGAACCCGCAGATTTAATGCAGGTCTTAATTGTAACTTCCCGAACTGCAGGCAGGAAGTGAAGCCACGCACTGACTTGTGCTTCAGCATTTTCCTTTCCTGAGCTCTCCCTGCCCAGCCCCGCACCCATCCCTGCACCTTAACGTCTACGGAAGAGAAGGCTAATGAGCCCGAAGGAGAGGCGTCACTACTTCCAGCCTTCCGGACGCGTGTGATACCATCTACTTAAGATGAGAAGACATTCAGCTGAGACAAGGATTCCTGGCAGAAAACCGTGGTGACCTAAAGCTTATGTGCTAATGTGGAGAAATTAAGGCACAGTGCCCACTGGTGGATGAACATGGCCAGATTATTCTAAATACTGGGATTATCTATTACCTGCTCATTGCAATGATTAGGAAGTGGACTTCCTGTTCATTGGGCTTAACCAGTTAGTTAATGGGTCTCGCCAGAAACTAATTTTTATTGTAATTGTTGGAAAGATTTCTTAATTTGTCTATCCTTGTGTATTAACATATATAATTACAGATACTAGATACAATTATATTTTTAGGACTAACTTTGAGAATTGACATCATGCTCACCATTGAAAAATGTGTGAAGACATAATAATACCTGGCACTGATAAACAGTTCCGCATATATTATTTCAACCTTCCACTATCTTGACACACACAAAAAAGAGCAGGTATTATTTTCTCTCCCATTTTGCAGGTGAGCACACTGAGTCCCGAAGAGGCTCCCTGGCTGGCCCGGTAGCAGAATCAGAAGTCACCTGAAGACATAGAAAGCTGCAGTCCTTTGAGCCTGTGAGAGAATTCTGAATACATCTTTTTCCTTGTGCAAAACAGAAACTTTGCACTTTGTAATGTTGAGACTTTATGTTTCCTCCCATTGAGTTTGAGGACTATTTTGACACAATGAAGTTTAAATGTTACCTCACAATGGAGAAACACAACGTGTTATATCCTAAAATGAAATATTAGTTAATAAAAAGGAATGAAGGGCTGGTTCCTGCTACATGGATGGACCTTCAAAACATGCTGCTCAATGAAAGCATCCATAGAGGCAGAAAGCAGACTTAGTGGTTGCCAGGGACTGGGGGATGAGGGGAATAGGGAGGGACTGCTAATGGATATGGGGTTTCCTTTTGGGGTGATGGAATGTTCCGGAATTAGAAGAAGGTGATGGCTGCAACCACACAGTGAATGTTTAAATGCCACTGAACTGAACACTTTCAATGGTTAAAATGGTGAATGCTATAGACTATGTATTTTATAATGACTGTGATATTTTCAAGCACTTGAAGAGTGATGATGACCGGGGATGCCCTACAAACTGCCAGCACCCCTGGAGGGACGCTCCGACGCTCGCCCGCGTGGCCTGCACACTGAGCAGGTCTGAGAGGGTCCGATGCTGTCCTGGTAACAGACGTGGCCCCTGCCCCGAGCGAGCCGGGGGTGTCTGGCTGAGCTCCCATGCCCCCGAGGCTCAGGGTGGTCCTGGCCCACGTGCGCACTTACTCTCGATTTGCGGGGCACTGCGGTCATTGATCTGCGTGACTTTCCGAAGGCGAGTTCCTTGCTGGATATCAGCCAACAGTGCACTTCGACCTTTGGGATCGGCCTTTCTCAAGCTGGAAGCTTCTGTACTCGCCTGTAAGGGAGTAAGAGGGATGCGATTATAATCACACAGAACATGTGCAGAGAAGCCCAAAGTCCTGTCTGCTGTAAGGTTTACCTCCATAGTCCACCTCACCTGTGTGCCCTGCCCGCACCATTCCTAAGGCCATCTCACCTTGATCTCTAGGCGTTTATGCCCAAGACCCGGTGGACACTTAGCTCCTGCTGCTCACACCCCTCTCCCTGGGGACCTAGAATGGACTCTTCCTTATGCGCACACTCCTGTATGTCTCAAGGAAGCCTAAGTCACAGACCCTCTTCCTCCTCATAGTTAAGGCCACATGCAGGCCCGGGTTTCATTCAGTCCAGGTGCTCCTGACCCAGGCTGCCAGATTCGGAGTGATCACCCTGCCCGGCATCCCAGGTCCGCTCTGGACCACGCCCTTGCTGACCCCAGCTTGATGATGGAGTTGGTCCTGTGGCCCTGTCTTGCCTGGGCTATTCTCCTGAGTGGCACTAAGTAGCGTGCAGTCCCCTGGTACTCATGCTCCCTGCTGTGGGTGGCCCATCATGTCTCACAATGGAAGCAGGTTCGGCCTTGAGGAGCTGGTTTGGAGGGAAGGATGACGACCTTCATGTGAGCACGCAGCAAAGGGGAGAACTGGGACCCAGAGGGGTCATCCACTGGGGAGGAAGGGAGGGCAGGGGATTTCAGGAAGGTTTCGGGGCTGCCTACTCGGTGCCTGGGTGCGTCACTCTAAGCCTCATAAAACCCGTGAGTGTCCAGTGAGCTTGCCTTCATTTTACAGATGAGAAAACTGAGACGATGAACTTGTCTGTTCAAGGCCACAGGGCTGGGCTCAAACCCAGATCTGCTAAATCCCCAAGGCCATGTGCTTTGTACTTGCCATCCAGGGCATGTGCCATCATTGGGATAAGTGTCTCACTGACTGCTCACTTGCTTCATAAATATATTTGTGAGATTAACCTTTATCCTAACTCTGCAAGTAGCCCCGAGGTCCAACGGTTTCACTTCCATTGCAGCTCAAGCTGACACGGCAGGGGTCTCCATGGGCTATCAGAACCAGCGGGCACCAGAAACTACACATGTAAGTTGATGGCAAATAAGGGGGTGGGGGGGCTGCATTGGAAGACACAGCCAGGAGGATCCTTTGAAGTTGGAGGGTTTGTACCACGTGACCCGAGAGCTGGTAAACCATTTCTCAAAGCATGAAATACACGTGTCTTCAGTTTTCCCCTTAAACAGCACCACCCAGAGGTCTTTTCTGACCCCCAGTCTAAATAAGTCTACCCAGGGTTCTCGCTCAGGGTACCATATGCTTTTTCCTCTGAAATTTTTATCACAGAGGATACATTTTTATTTCCGTTTTCAGTGTGGAAATTTCCATTTGTGCCCATGAGTTCAAGGTTCACCATCCCACATTTCTATCAGGAAAAAGATCCTGTTCATTTTTGTTCATCAATATGTCTCCAGAGAGTAGAACAGGACGTGGGCCCAGACAAGCTCAATCACTGTTTACTGAGTGAATGAATGAGTAGTGAATGATGTATGATACGCATGTACAGGGAGTTAGAACATACATGCATGGAGTTAGGCCACTACATCATACAGCATATGACTGAGCACCCATGTGAGTCTCACAGAGAGGAAGACCCCTGAGAATTCAGAAACGGCCATATCTGCCAGGCTGAGCTGAGCAGGCTGCAAGGAAGACATGAGACCTTAGAAGGTTCTTGAAATAGAGATAGGACTCACGAATCTTTGCGGTGGCCTTTTTGTTTTGTTGTTGTTGTTGTTGTTCAGAAAAGGACAAACCAGGTTTGCTTACCAGACAGTCAGAGACTCCTCAGTGTCACAGACTAGAAACAAAGGCAACTGTGGTTTTAGCTAAAATGTGCCGAGTCAGCATTTTCCTGAGCTGAATCTGAAGGACACAGGCTCAGAGTCGGTTCTCATTGCCTGGAGACATGCCTTTTGAATCCTTGAGAGGGGCTCATGGTCAACAGTAGAGCTCTGAGCAAGGGACCCCAACCCTATTGCTACATCGTTTCTAGGAATGCATGTAAGCACACACATGCACACAGGGGATTTCCCACACAACATGCTTAAAACCCCCACACATATAAAACATTAACATCAATATGTTATTTTAAACTACAACGTTTTGAGATTTTTAAATTTCATTTTAAAACTAGAGGCCTGATGCACAAAAATTCGTGCAAGAGTTAGGCCTTCCTTCCCCTGGCTGCCAGCACCGGCTTCCCTCTGGCACCCAGGGCCTGGGCTGCTTCACTCCAGAGGGATGTCCGGAATGACACCCAGAAGGACATTTGGTCTAATTTGCATATTACCCTTTTATTATTATAGATGTTGTTCATAAATTATTAGTGACAGGAAGAAAGGATCAACAGAAGTATCACGACCCTAGACAAGAGGGTAGGAACATTTTCGTAAGAACCTGACCTTGTAATCTCAGATGTGTGTTACGGTCAGGGGTCGGGAAGAACGTCCTTTGCCACTTTCTTCCTAGTTGCAAGGCGACCAGCACCGTGAATTATAATGACAGTCATGACCCGGCTCAGGTGCTGGCCCCGAGGAAGGTAGAGTGAGAAAGGGACGTTCTTTTGCTTAAAGAACTAGAGATGAGCACACCCTGGCCCTAGTGACCTGTGGGGGGTCATCTTGACTAATTTAGACTCGATTTTTAAATATATTATCAAAATTCATCCCCCCAGGGGAGGGCTGTGAACAATGTTGCCCCACCTTGCCCACCCCAGGCTTTTCAGGGGAGGGCTGTGAACAATGTTGTATGTCCTTAGGGTTATGCTTTTGAACAGATTCCCGACTTAGCACAGGTCTCAAGATGTTCTTGATGAGTCCACATGACAGGTTTCAAATCAGTGGGAGGACATGGCAAGGCACGTCATGTTTGCATGACGCAGTCCAACTCGAGGGACTAAATTAAGAAGCCTCTGTGACTGCTCAGCTTGCTTTCCTGCTCACCGTGGGCCCTGGTGGTTTTCCACTAGAGGGCCCTCCTCCCCTGGTATGACTATGTGTCCTCCAATCCTCTCCTGGGAGGTGGGAAAGAATGAGTAACTTCAGGGCTAAGGTGGTCATGCACATGCAGGCTGAACAAAAGGGCAGCTAAGGGCTTATTCATTTGAACATGGAAAACTAAAGCACACAGAGACAGTGGTTCCTGTCATCTGCAATAGTTACTAACAATTAAATCAAAATTTGCTTCTTAAAATTCTACAATCCTAAGAAGTCTTGTTACTGTGGTTACAGGATACAGAAACAGGAAAGAGAAGATTTCCAAATAAACCCCGAGCTTTTATTCTATGCAAATCCCGATTTTTGGCAACTTCAGTAAAAATATAACCAAGGGAGAGAAAGCCATTCCTGGACACTTTTCCCAAGGCAAATCGATCCACCAAACCCACCTGCTCACTTCCCTCTTCCCTCCAAAATGAGAAACCAAAGCATCACTCCACAGTCTCCTCTGGTTCCTCTGTGTTAGTGTTGTCATGGGGTGTGACAATTTGGGGGGTTCCACACAAGGCTTTCGTGGACTCCGTTCTGCTACAGCAAGTTCCAATGGAATAGCCCTGATCCTAAAAAGATGCAGAGCAGCAGAATAGTAATGCAAATTAGCCCACTGCTGGGGTTGCTAAGGCTGAAAAACTGAAGCGAACCAGTAAGATTAGAAATACAAAAATGAGGGGCAGGACTCACCAACCAAGGGCGATAAATCAAAAGTTTTTGCATACCCATTTGTCTTTCCAACAAATGACTCCATCAGGTTTCAGTGTAGTTTGAGGGGAGGAAGGACGGCAGTTCAGCCCAGATCACAACGTTGAAATGCCCAGTCTTCCTGCTATTTGTCACCCGGCCACCAAAGGCCATGACCACACCTGATTTGAATACTGCTTTCTGTGCAAAATACTAATAAAAATCTAGCCGGCTGACCCACACCTAGCAGGCTGTTTGTCTCAGGATGATCTAAAGCCTATCATTTTCCTACAATTTCAGCCTTGCAGCCTCTAAAGATACTTTCTCCATGAGGCTGTCACACCTAAAATTGGTCCTTAGGTTTCCAGGCACACAGCCTGCTCATGACCCCAGACCTCAGCCTCCTCCTGCCTCCTCCAAACTTGGGGGCAGACCAGGCAGGTGTCGGCAGCCAGGGTACCTGCATCTCATGAGCACATGTGAACCCCAGGGGCAGCCCGTATGGCCCGCAGGCGAACACAGAGAGCCTGGACTCCAGTGAATATTTTCAGACAACTGACTCTCCCCAGCCAGGCCTGACACAATGTTCCCTGCAACCCAAATGTGTATAAGTCAGGTCGTTCCAGAATGCGGCATATTGCAGTCGAGTAGTTCTCTGTCTCATTTTCAGAAATGCAAATATACACTTAAAATCTGTGCGCAAAAAGGATGGACCCACTAACCTTCTTTAAAGTCTGCTTTATTGAGCAACGGACTGTTACCTAGACCAGAGAGCTGCCTCATACATGTATGTATACGTGTATTTCTCATGATTTATTTCCTGGGCCTGAGCCTCTGAGCTGGTCCCACAACGGGATCCTAATAACTTGGAGGCTGCCCTGGCGGCTGTATTGAGAGCACCCGCTGTCTGATTCTCCACTCTCCACCACGTCACAGACTCAGCCATCCTGCCCCAAGCAATCCTTCCACCTCATTATATATTTCTCGCAGAGTTTAAGCTGCTGTGGATTCCTCACGGGTTTTTTTCCCACTCGCAAGCCGGTGCTCATGCGTTTGCCCCTTCTATGATCACTCCTACCGCCCTCCCGGCCCCCCACCCTGGCCTCACCATACCTGCCAAGGCATTTACTTCTCTTTTTAAGCTACACATCAAACAGAGTTTACTTTACAAAATCCTTTTGTCCTTTTAACTTCTTCAACCTAATCTTTTCCTTGTATGATCCCCAAGCGCCTTGTCATTTTCTACTGCACTATTCAGATCTGGCCAGGTATTCTAG